TTAACGCTCCCCAAGATTACCTTCACACCACAAAGGTGAAGTGTACCGGCTATAGACCACCAGCATGCTCCTGTTAGCGCTCCCCAAGATTACCTTAGCTTTTGGGGGGAGCTGCTTTATTACATTGTTTACTGTTATTGAGCTTGAAACCTGCCAAATGGCAGCTCATTCCCCATATCCTTCAAGTTCTTTTAGTACTCTGGGATGTAGCTTGTCCAGGCCGGTGACTTGAACTCGTTGAGGGCTGTTAGGTGCTTTCTTTCCATCTCCCCTCTTATCTTGGGTTTCAGTTTTCCTTTAACCGTTTTGTGTTCAGTCCGTTCCAGTCTAAAAGTCATTTTACTTAGTAAAGAAGACAGAAATGAAGTAAGAATTGAATTAATTCTGTTTTCACTACATTATTCTGTCCCATCTGTGAGCTTATCACATTCTTCCGTCTTCCGCTTGTCCCTAACTTAACTTAAGCTTTACTTAGCTTAGCTTCAGTTTTAAAGTAGAAAAATGTAAATTGATTGCCACAAGGAGAACAAAAGACCTCAGAAAGTACTTTAGTGCTTTCTTGCCAAACTGAGAAAGATGGATGCTAAAGGCATCACCGGGATAGACTGTCCACTTTTTTGGTAAAAGCTTTTGAAGGAGGGAAATAGATGATTACGAGCAGTACCATCTCATAAAGCAGAGAAAAGCCCTGGAGAGTAAGACCAGTTTGAAGAAAGCTTCGCAAGATATCCAGCCAAGTAAGATTATCCTGAGGGAACTCAGGGATGAAAACGGAAGGACTTCAGACAGAAGGAAAAGATTTGCAAAAGTCATTATAGTGAACTGTTTTCTCCATCAAAGACTGTGGAACTGCCACATGGGGATCCCAACATCACAGTGCTACACTGCTTATAGAAGAGATAGAGGTGGCATCGCCGAGAGGAAGGATGGGGCAAGCAGCTGAGCTGGATCATATAGAGAGTGAGAAGATCTGTGCTGGAGGGAGCGCAGTGGTGAGAGCATCGAGGGGCTGATACGTGAAGTCTCAGATGGAAAGAGAACAAACCCAGGCCTCATTAATACAGGGAGGAAGAAAGGGGTGACTGAAGAATATAACTACCGACTGCTTTGCCTACTTTTCCATCTATACAAAATCTATGAGAGTTGCCTATACACCGATCAAAGGCCTCTCCAATGAGGATATTTATATGGAATAACCAGGCTTTCATAAGAAATATTCAGCAAAGGACCACACTGTTACCATTTCACAATTAACTAAAAGATAGAGAGGAATATAAGGTCCCAATGTACTTAACATTTGTTATGATTAAAAAGCGTTTGATTTGGGAATAGAAAATGCCACCTTATAAGCTCTTTAACAAGGTTTCTTGTTGTACATAAACATCATTTAAGATTTCTTGGAAGATAGAACCCCACAAAGAACCCTGTCCAACATCACTGATAATAAACATCAGATGAGGAATAAACAGGTGGGTGTACGCTTGCCAAAGATATTCACCACCATGATGGAGAAGACTCAGTGCAGAATTCAAGTAGAAGAGGAATTCTCTGTGGAATGTGAAGTCCTCTAGATGCTCTTATTTGCGAATGACATTGTTTTGGGCCTTGATGCAATTAATATATTGCAGAGCCTCCTGGAAGAGCTCTACATTCACACCTATCTACTTATATTGTAAGCGCCTTGAGAAGAGGGATTGTTTCACTTTTGTCTTTGTATCAGAGGAGTTTGCTTGTCTATCCACTCAGGAAAGACCACATGGATAAAGAATGTTGTCCACATTTCAGCATTCGCTTGGCTAGGTACCCCATGAAGCTTGCCCATCAGTAGATATGTGTGGGACAGACAGTACAGATGGACAGTGAGTTGGATCCAAAGTTGAAGAGGAGGGAGGAGAATAGACTGGATCGCCCTCTGAAAATTGCAAAGTTTCCTTATTCCTTGCCATTAAAGCAAAATTGCCTGCCTTTTTAATACCAACATTCTTTTGGTATGACAGCATGGTAGCTAGATGTGGAATACAATTATCCCTGAAGAATTAAAAACAAACGTTACACAAAGGGCAGTGTAGAGGTGTATGGTGAGTGTGAGTAGGCTCCAAAATAATCAGTGAGGAACTCTGGAGAACAAGACTAAAAGGTATCATCAAGTATGATAGAAAGAGAATGTGGATTGGTCATATTTTCAAGAATGAAGGATGACAGGTAGAAAGCTAGAGTGTAGCATAGTACTCTCACAATATCAAGAGAAAGCAAGAAAGGCTTCTGGTTGGCAGACTTCTGAGAGACTGGTGACTTGGATTTCAATACGCATCCTAAGAGGGAGCTCCTGAATCAGGGAGAGTACAGATCCACTTCAATGGCATTAATTGCCTCCCCAGCCCATTCTGAGGCTGAGGGCTTTTGCCACTACCTTTCTGCAGTTATGCTTTCACTGGGGCCAGTCCTCAGTCACTTACCTCAGCTTCCACAATCCAGACCTGGTTTTTTAAAAATTTAGTTGATGATCATCCACATATTTTTCTTCAGTTAGATTTCTCCTTTTCTCTTCTTGATGAGAATCATTTGTATTTCTGTCTTCAGAATTTTGTTCTTGAGAGCTTCCTATACTCTTGGGTCAGCTTCCCTGGAGAATTTTAGGCCACAGAATCCTCTCTATCCTTTCTCTGAATGTTTCAGAATCTCCTCTAACAACATGCTGGCTGTGTATAAGATGATACCCACCTTTCCTTTCCTTTCCTTCTCTGGCACAAACCTCCAGATGACATAGTTACTTTCCCCCAACATTCTTACCACTTCTATTGCAATAACTCGTTTCTCCTTGTTGGTCAGTATCAGGTCTCTTTTCACAAAATTAGATTTTTTTAAAAAGTTCATTTCATGAAAAATTCTTACACCCATCCTTTTCAACAAGTGAGCTACTTTGATAATAGCTTAGTTTGCTCATTCACAAAGCCACAACATCCACCGATTTCATTGATCGTGTTGGCAGTGTGGGAGATGATATAGGTTCAGGCTTGTTAAGATCAGTAGGACTAGCTTATTATAAAGCACTGCTTTTTAAATGTAGTCTAGTGGGGAAACCTCTGCCAAGTGCTTTGAGTATTTGGAGATACTCTAAAAGGGGCATTTTGAAAATTCTTCAACTGAGGTAGGTTCTAGGTCTGTTCATCTTAGCCTTTCCTGCAGGAGCCCTGTGTCTTCTTCATGAGAGCTGCTTGGGGAGCCGTGCAGATGACTCTCTTGAGAGGCAAGGTGGCTCAATTAACTGAGCAATACCTTGTAACACTGGCCCTGCCATTTAGCATCTGGGCTTTTGAGCAGATAGCTTCTCTTCCTTTCATTGCCTGTTCCATCTCCAAATCAGGAATAATGATATCAGCCTGCCTCAGGAGAGAGGTGGTGAGGGGTGATTATTTTGCTCCAGGTGATTTATGTTCATTATATTTCAATTCTGTTTGTGTCCTTATGATAGCTGTTTGTGACCTGTCATGTTAGGGGGTCCCATTAGCAATAATTTCACCATCTTATCTCCATTGTCAATTGATTACTCCAGGGAATGACAGTACTTTATTTAGCCCAGGACCAAACTCAGCAAGGTCTTAGCCTGACACTCAAACCATAGATTGATTCAGGAGGCTAGAACAATAATAGGGCACCGTGTCTTCCGGAAAAGAATGACAGCTATAATAAGCACCATGACTGATAAGATGTGAGCGAAGATGTGTCTGCTTTTAGCAGTTAACGTGAGCTGTTGGTCTGGTTTGCAGTGCCTGTTTGCACATTCCCTCCGGAAATTCTCCATGAGAGACTGGGGAATTGAACAAAAATGGATGTCCATATTGTTGCCCCTGCTACTGCTCTATAATGGTGGGTACCTTCCCCCCCCCCCCATTTATGTGACTTATTTCAACACATCTCATAGAACCTACCATCCTAAAATTTAGCATTGGAAGGGCCCTTAGAGGTCATTTAATCTCCTACCTTTTCATACCAACTCATGGGCTCAGAAATAAGATGTTCATCATATGGTTACTCAGCCTGAATCCCTGATGTGTTGCCTCTTAGTGGTTCATGTTTAGCCCGACATGTAGCTCATAATTATTATCCTTAACAAATGAGTGACATTTTTGGTAGTTAAAATTTGGAAGAGCTACAGACACAGCAGTTCTAGGAATTTTTGCTGAAGGTAGCCAAATGCTGCTGTCTGCTCTTCATTACCTGCTCCAAAATCGGTACGCTCCTGGTGCAGACAGCATTCTGGATTCCCATGCCTGCAGCGAGAATCCAATGGCGACAGCATACGGCACTCAGTGATTATTGCTAGAACAATCTGTTAATTTGCTTTCAGGTTTTTAAAAAAATCAGAGCCTAGGATCAGCCTTGGGGGGGAAAATGGAGTTGGTGAATTTTTCCCATCCTTCTCCTGCCTTCTTAATAACGATCAGAGAAAGCAAGGTGGTTTAGTAGAAAGGGCTCTGAACATGGAGTCCTGTGGCCTTGGGCAAGTTACTTTTCCAGGTCTCAGTTTCATAATCTGTAAAACGAGGAGAATAACACTTTTCATTGGCTGCTTTATCTCTGGATTGTTATGAAGAAAGTGCTTTGTAAAGCTCTTTATAAACATGAGTTATTACTGGCCCTTTTGCAATGATACATTTTTATATTGTCTTCCAGATCCATTCTTCCCCCTTTCCTTCCTGGTAAACAGTTGGTTTCCTGGCATGCTGGATGACCTCTTCCAGTCTGTGTTCCTCTGTGCGTTGTTACTGTTCTGGCTCTGTGTGTATCACGGGATCCGAGTACAGGTGAGCAGAGGACTATCCTGTAGGAAGCTGTATAAAGTCAACCATTCATTCCTTTCCTACTGCTAAGGAGGTAGCATTTCAGCATTGGCCTTTTGTCCCTCTTGTTCTGGGCTTCCATGGCTTTTCAAGGACAAGTACATCTATAGGGACAATCTTCAGTACTCTGCTTAATGCTCTGTAAAAACTAGATGAATGTTAAATCATAAAAATCTAAAATTAACTAAAGGCAAGTCTTAGCTAGAATTAATATCATTAATAAGAGTTTCTCTTCTTTCTTTTTGTCCCAATAGGGAGAAAGAAAATGTTTAACATTCTATTTTCCTAAATTCTTTATTGTTGGACTACTATGGTTGGCATCTGTCACATTAGGAATATGGCAAACGTGAGTAATTTCATTGTATACTAAATGCAATACCCAAATGCCCCCGAGAAAGGGAGACAACCATCATAGGTCACCTCAAAGGAACCTGCTGGAATACATTTTATATCTGTACTAAATGACTATTTTATTCTCAGAACTAAAGGGACATATGAGGTAGTGGTAGCCAGAGATGGAGAAGACCAGCTTCATTTTGGGTCTCTATGGTGTGCAAGCAAAATGCTGTATTTTAGAAAAGTTGAAAAACTAGTCCCATGTCAGTTACTTAAGTATTTGGCTTGTTCATTGTTACCTTTAGCTCTTCTTTCAGATTACTGTGGATGTTTCTTTATTAATATTTATGCCCTTATGCAAACATAGTACAACCATGGAGTTCAGTTTTGTAACTTGGGCACTAGAGATACTCAGGTAGTTGTTAGGTTGTAGAGCATGCTTTGGCCAGTGTTGTATCCAATGTAATGTCAGCAGGTGATGTTACAGAGTTCTAAGCTCATTTTCACTATTTACTCCCTTTTAGTTTTTATTTGTCTGTAAGAGCATGATTGTTAGCCAGTTATTCTAGACCTTTACTCTGGTTAGTCATTTTTCTTTATGGTCTTTTCTTCTTCAGTGCTACTGTATAGCTGGACACATCTTTTGGGGGAAAGAGACACCACCATTGTTAAAGGGTGTCTGTGGAAGAACTTTCAAAATAGAACTTGCAGATGGAACAGTCTTTAAATTGGAAACTTTAGTAAGAAAATGCTGCATTTCTCACTGCATATTCAGCCATTGACTACCAGGCACCTATTTAATATTTATCTGATTGTGTGAACTTAGCCTGAGTTAATAAAATTGCTCATTTTTTCAAATGTAAGGCATGGGGGCAGCTAGATGGCACAGTGGATAGAGCTCCAGCCTTGGAGTCAGGAGGATCTGAGTTCAAATGCGACCTCAGACACATAACACTTACTAGCTGTATGACCTTGGGCAAGTCGCTTAACCCCATTGCCTAACAAAAAACAATAAAATAAAATAAAAAGTAAAATGTAAGGCATGAGATTTAGGATTTCTAGAAAATTTGGGATTGCTTTTAAAAGCAACTTTTAAATTTTTTTATAATGTTGGCTTTTTTTTAATCAGATAATTTTAGAAAATATGTAATATTTTATTTTTCCCCAATTCCATGTTAAAACAATTTTTAACATATTTTTAAAGTTTTGAGTTCCAAATTCTATTCCTCTTTCCCTCCTTTCTCTCCCTCCTCCCTAAGATGGTAAGCAATCATGTGCAACGTTTTGATATTAGTCATTTTGTACAGGAAAACTCAAGAAAGAAAGAAGGAAAGAAAATGAAAAATAGCACACTTCGATCTGTATCGGTTCTTTCTCTGTAGGCAGATAACATGCTTCATCATGAGTCCTTTGGGATTGTCTTGGATCATTGTATTGCTGAGAAGAGCTAAGTCATTCACAGTTCTTCACTGTACAATGTTGCTGTTACTGTGTACCGTGTTCTCCTGGTTCTGCTCACTTCATTTTGCATAGGTTCATGTATATCTTTCCAGGTTTTTCTGAAATCATCCTGCTTGTCATTTCTTACAGCACAATTAACTTTCTATCACAATCATATACCACAGCTTGTTTAGCCATTCCCCAATCAATGAACAGCCTTTAGATTTCCAGTTCTAAGCCAGCACAAAAAACAACTGCTGTGAATATTTTTGTACAAACAGGTCCTTTTCCCTTTCTTGGGATGTCTTTGGGATATAGACCTAGTAGTGGCATTGTTGGATCAAAGGGTATGCATGGTTTTATAGCCCTTTGGGCACAGTTCCAAATTGCTCTCCGGAATGGGTTGGATCAGTTCACAATTCCACCAACAGTGCATTACTGTCCCAGTTTTCCCACAACCCCTCCAACACTTATTATTTTCATTTTTTTTTCATACTAACCAGTCAAAATCAGATAATTATTTTAAAAATAAATAATCTAGGGCAAAGCTATATATTAATGATTGATCTTTGATTTTTTTTTCGTTAGGGTAAATGAATTACATGACCCAATGTACCAGTATAGAGTCGACACAGGCAATTTTCAGGTAAGTATAGTTTGTGAAATCAGAGTTTATAAAGTAGTGTTCAGAATTGTGTTATTTTAAAATCGGTCTTTTGGAATGGGGTCATTTAATATCTAGAAGAGTTAAGGAAAGTTTTGAAATAGGAAACTTCCTGAGAAAAGTGTGCAAGAAATATCATCCTCCACCTGGGCTTTTCTTTTCATTTCCCAGAATTCTTGATAGGTCATTCCTGATTTGCTAAGAAAGAGAAAAAAATTATTTATATTCTTACCCAGTCATAGCCAACTTAAAAGCAAGTTGTTTTTTTTAATTGTTCGTTGAATCACTTGTTTAGTTAGGTGGAAAGGTGGGTATCTACAATTTGGTGATTCTTCACGTTGTCTCTTGATAGCTAGGTTCCTGACACTCTTTTCTTCCTTTGGAGTATATAAACAGAACTGGGCTGGTCCTCGGTAACCCTGATTTTCTCAGTCCAGTTCATTTTCCATTTTACTGCCAAAGTGATTTTCCTAAAGCGCAGGTCTGAACAGGTCATCGTCTCCCCACTCCCTCACGCTGTAGGCTTAAGTGACTTCCCAGTAACTCCAGGAACAAACATAAAGCCCTCTGTTTAGCATTTAAAACCCTTCACAGCCTGGTCCCTTCCTGGCTGTCCAGTCTCCTTAACACCTTGCTCCCTTCCACACACTCTCCAAAGCAGCCACACTGGCCTACCTGTATGAAGCATTCTATCTCCAGACTCTGCCATTGTACTCCCCCCCCCACTCCCCCCCGTTCTCCCTGTTGCCTCCCTGGGTTACTTCAGGACTCATCTCAAATCCCTCCCCCGTCTGCAGCAGGTCTTCGCTGATTCCTTCTACTGCTTGTGCCTTCCCTTTGAAATTGTCTTCCATCTGCTCTGTCCACACATGATACGTACATAGTTATTTATATATTGTTTGCCCCATTAGAATGTTAGCTCTTTGAGGGCCTGGATTATGTTTTTGCCTTTCTTTGTGTTCCTGACACTTAGCTCAGTGTCTGGCACATAGTAAGCATTTAATAAATGCTTTTTGACTGACTAATCATAATTTTAACGACCAAGCTTGGGGCCAGAGGGACAGCTATTGCACTGGAGAACAGAGACACTCCAAAAAGATCACTATAGGCCCAAATGTTGGGCTCAATCTAATAGGATGAAATATATTAGGAATAATCATGTAAAATCTAACCTTTGGTTAAAAAAAAAAAGCACAGCTTCCTAAGTACAAGATGGGGAAAGAAATCAGTTCATCTGAAAAGAGGATTTTAGTGAACTACAAGGTCAATATAAGTCAATTTAACCAAAAACTCTAATGTGATCTTTAAGAAAGGCACAGAGCATCTATGATGGAGAAGAAGCGATAGTCCTGTAGTACTTTTCCCTGATCACAGCACACCTAGAATGTTGCACTCAGTCCTGGGTGCCATGTTTTTGGAAGGACAATGATAAGCTGGAGCACATTCAGAGGAAAGCAGCTGCAATGTTGAAGAGATGGTGCCGGATGAAGATCAGTTAAAGGAATTGGGGGTGTTTCACCTGGAAAATAGAATTTACGGGGGAATGAGATAACTGGGTTCCAGTGTTTGAAGGACTGTCAAGGGCGAGAGGGATTAGACTGGTCTTGCTTGGATTCAGAGGGCTGGATAAAAGAACATCAAGTCTTCCTAAGAAGTCAGACTCTTTACAAGTAGAATGTGCTGTCTTGAAGGGAGTATGTTCTTCCTCCTTGGAGGTCTTTCAAGCAAAGACCAGCTGACTGCTTGTCTGCAGTGCTGGAGAAGGGGATTTTGTTCAGATGGGAATTGAACTATATACTCTCTGCGCCTCTTCTGCTTTGAGATTCTGTGATTGAAAGGTTTGTGGAGACTTTTCTTAATTGAAAGATGAATTTATTTGGAAAATTGGTGTGAGCCTTCCTGTACCAGGACCTTAGCCCAGTAACGGGTCAAATGAAGTCTTTGGCTACCAGAACTCATTCTTGAGGAGAGAATTTTGCTTTATATTCTATAGAGTACACTTTTCCATTGCATAGTAGAAGGAAGGTTGTACTTAGGAGTCAGGAGACTTGAATTCAGATCTGGTCTGTGTTAGCTCTGTGACCATGGGTAAGACACTTCACTTCTCTGATTCTCATTTTTGAAATCTGTAAGATGGGAATAGTAATATGCATACCACCTTTCTCAAGGAGAAGAAAGCGCTTTGTAAACTTTGAAGAGTTAATAGAGGCTGTGATTTTCTTGCCACTCAGGCTGCAATGGAAAAGCAAACCACTAGGGGGCTCCAGAGTCACTGAATGATCCCTTGAGAGAGAAGACCAAGCCAGAGTTTCCTGGTGATGCAAGTCCTTCTCCTGAAGCACTTGACAGGTCTTTTATCATATTAATGATGTCAGAACTCCTGAGCACTCTTCTGAGTCCAGCCACCAAATAGCATTTCTAGCACTAGAGTATAGCCTTTTCAGAAGAAGACCATAGAGTATTCAAGTTGGAAAGATCATAGAAAGAAAGGGAAGGGAAGAAGTATTCATTAAGTACCTACTATGTGCCAGGTGTTTTTCACGTCAGGTGTTTTTCAACTTTTATCTCATTTTATCCTTGCAACAATTCTGAGAGGTAGGTGCTGTTATCTTCCCCACTTTACAGATGAGGAAATTGAGGCAGGCAGAGGTTAAGTTACTTGCCCAGGGTCACATAATTAGTGTATGAGGATGTATTTGAACTAAGGTCTTCCTGACTCCAGACCCAGTGCTTTATCCACTGAGCCACCTGTCTGCTTCCTTAGGGATTAGCTGTGTGTTTTGAGGAGGGAAGGAAGGAGATTTATAAATGGTCTGAGGAAAGACCCTCATTGCACAGAGAGAGATTAGAAGTGTGTGAGTAGTGAGTGTGAGTGGAGAACAGAGGGGCAGAGCATTCGGAAGTGAGACTGGGGAGATGAACTGGAAGCTGGGGAGTGGAAGCTTGTGGTCTTCTTGCCCGTTGTCTGCTTTTCCTTTTTAATGCTGCTCAGGAGCACCTGGCCTAGCAGTGGCTGGAATCCTGTATTTCCTATATGCAAACCCAGCATTTGAGGTTTCACCTTCTTACCTAAGGTGGGTAGCCCCTGTAAGTTTACAGGGATCTCAACTTCTGGGATTCCTTCATCTGCTACTCATCAGATCCAGACCTTTGACTCTGTTTCATGTCTGCAGTTTCTAAGGATGCTAATGATGTACAAATTTCCTAACATCTATAAGCATTACTTTTTGTTGCTCTACCCAGTTAGCCCAGAGGGAAGCATGATATGATTTGCCAGTGACCATGCAGGAAACTCAGGCAACACACCAATGTAGGGTCATTATTTTTTGCGGTTTGCCCTTGGACATTCTAATGCCATTTTTATTGTAATGAACAGGAAGTCGTGAGGTATGGGTTCTGTTCCTGGCTGGGCTGCATAGAACGATGTGACCTTGGACAGTCATTGAAAGTCTCTGGGCATTCATAGAATGAAGAGGTTGGACTGGATGACCTCTAAGGTGCCCAAATCTATTATCCTGCCCTCCTTTCTGAGCATCTGAGCATTGGTTATCTGGTGATCCTGTTCTGAGAAAGAGTGATTACACTTCTGTTGCTGGGGATAGCATCAGAAGGAGGATCACCTGAGGTTGATATGTTTAAATGACATTTTTGTTTTGTTTGTTTCCAGGGGATGAAGGTTTTTTTCCTGGTGGTAGCTGGCATGTATATTTTATATCTTTTGTTCTTGATTGTGAGGGCATGCTCAGAACTTCGCCATATGCCTTATGTTGGTAAGTGACACTTCTCCTAAGCTCCTAAGACTGTGCCTGGTGGAGTTAATGCCCGGATGGATGCAGGGTTTTCCTGAGGTGGTCCTAACCTTACCATGAGGAAGATACATGGGATAGACTTCCTTAGCTTCTAGGGAGCTCTCAGAGTGCTAGACAGTGCCCAGTTATGAAGCACAGGAGGGGTCCAGAGGAAGCCCTTCTACTTGAGGAGGGCCTGGGCTGATCTTTTTGGACTGATGCTTTTTAAAACAATCATTGTGACCGTTTTAAAGCTGCCACAGGTTTGCTGCTGCTTCTGTAGCATAGTGCTGAGAGAGTGCTGGGGCCATTTCTGAGCCTTTGCTGCTTCTAAGACCACCCTTCACTTGAATCTTTGCCAAATGAAAAATCATGGTCTCACCTAAGGCCCTTTTCAGACACAGCTGATGTTTTACCTTTATAAAACTTAAGCGCATTGAGTAACATCCTTTCTGGACTTCAGATGAAGGAGCCCAAATTAGGAGAATTTGTCTTGAAAGTTTCCTGGGATGGGATAATGTTTACTGCTAAGATTGCCTTAAATTGTCATTTTTTTGATTTGTCATTTCCAGATCTCAGGTTAAAATTCTTGACTGCATTGACTTTCGTAGTACTTGTCATTAGGTAAGGAAACCTTTTATCCAGAAACAAAAATAACACAAATCTTTGTTTTTCTTTTTTCTTTTCTCCTTTTGAATATTGAATTTCAACATAAAAGTTCCAGCTGAATACTCAGGGCTAATTGTTGTCTTATCGATCTGCTGGCTAGAATGTCAGTGTGTACTGATGTACTTCCAAGTCCCTCGTGCCAAGTGGGAGGGAGGAATGCCAGGTGCCAGGCAGGTGGGTGGTAGAGAGGGGAAGCCATAACCTGCTGCCATCCATCTGGCAAAACCAAAGACATTCACCTCCCTGGTGTTTTGAATGGTCGTGGCATAGAGTGTTTTCATTCATTAAATATTTCAGGAGTTACTCTCTGTACCATGGAGAGTAGTGATTTTTCAAAGGTTTCAATCCCAGTAGAATACATTGAACACTCCTGGCTCTTCAGAGCTCTGTAGTTATGGTGATTTCTTTTGTATCTTCAGCACTTAGCACGGTGCTTGGCACATGGGAAGCACCTAATAACGGGTTTTTCATCCGCTTATTCATCCTGAACATGACTTGTCACCATATGGTCCATGGAGGGGGAGTAGAATAGGAAGGGCAGAGCTGTGGTTTCTTCAGCATAGAGATCTCCCCATAAGGAACTTCCCTCCCTCAAAGCAGATGGGCTGTCCTTTTAGAGAGTTGCCTTGGGCACTGAGAACTTTGGTGACTTGCCCAGGGTCACACAGCCAGCCAGTATGTGTCAGAGGCAAGACTTCAGCCCCACCCTCTATCACTTGTTGTCAATCACATGCTGTCTTTCAAAAGTATGGTACTTTGGATGGACAAGTATACTGTCCCTGAAGATTACTTTTAAAAATCAATTCCAGATTTTGGCTTGCTTTTTTGCCAATGGTTTTCTCATCAGAATAGAGTACAGAAAAGAACAGTATAGTTTTCCGGTAGCTAGGATTCAAAGGAAGTGGATAATCGCTTCTGATTCCCTTGGCCTGTAAAGGTAAAAGCCATTGCTTATAAAGACACCCATAAGGGAAAGTGGGGCCTAGAGTTTTAGTGTGTCCTTCTACGTATAACATGCAATATAAAGTGGTTTTGAGTAAATCGATGTGGCAGCAGACAATTTGGGACTAGAAAGATGTCAACAGAAATTATAAATGCTGTGCTTGGATGCTCCTTAGACAAAAAAGGATTGGGGAGATTTTGGAACAAAATAGGGAAGATTAAAGCCTTTTTTTATTCTGAAAATTGCCCTATGTAGTATTTTGGATAAATAATGTCATATGTAATATTTTAGGGGATAAACTACTATTCTCATCACAATTTTAGTACACAACCTCTCTTTACTCTTTAGGAAACACTGGAGTAGAAAAGAGTGAACAGTTTAATGGGGAATGTGTCATAATCACCAATAAGCATGATAACCAGGTAGAATATGACAAAGATTAAAAGAGAAACCTAGACAAGAGCTCTGGAGAAATTTAAGGATGGAGAAGTCACTTTGAGTTGAGAAGAATTAGAGGAGGCTTTAGGTTGGAAGGAAGTGGTACCTGAACAGGGTCATGAAAGAAGAGAAGGATTTCAGTAGGCAGACATGCAGAGAGTACATTCTGGTCACTGGAGATGATGAGCGTGAATGCCTAGAGATGGGGAAGTGTAGGACAGGAGTGGGAAACAGCTAGAAATCCAGTATGTCTGGAACATAAGTTGTTTGAAGGAACATAGAAATTTACCTTTTTAGGTAATTAATTGGGAACTAAATTTTGAAAGATGTTAAGTATTAGGCTAAGAATTATGCATTTTTCTCTAGAGATAGAGGATTGATGTAGGTTTTTGAGCCAGAAAGTGACAAGTCATCTAAGCAATAGAAAGATTATAGTGACAATTGCATAAAAGAATATTGAAGAGGAAGAGACTGGAGGCAGAGAGACCAGGCTTGGTTTTATTGTACCGGGACTATTGTTATTATAATAATCCAAACAAGAAGTTGAGAGACCTTGAATTAGGGTAGTGGCAGTATGGTGGAGGGGGGATGATACATGCAGAAGATATAGTGAAGGCAGAATTGATCTTGCTTGGCTACTGATAGAGCTATCCAAAAGTGGAGCGAGCTGCCTTAGGAGGTAGCCTCCTAATACCATAGGAAGTTTTCCCCTTGCAAGCAGAGGCTGACTGTCATGTTGTAATAGGAATTCTTTTTTTGGGTATGAGTTGAACTAGAAGGGCATTCTTTCTAACTCTGAAATTCTTGATTATATGTAGGAAAGGAGGAAAGGCAAAAAACTAAAAGATAATTGAGGTATTCTTGGCCATAGTTAGTCACTATCAACAGCAGTAAGAAAGTTGAGAATATTAGGTTTTGAGGGAAGGAAGATAAATTCCATTTCAGATGTTGAAGGTTGAGGTGTTGGTAGAATATCTAGGTGGACAGATGTGTTGAGATTGAGGTGTTGGATGTGTCCAGTGGGCAGCTGGTGAAGTGGGCCTGGAGGTCATGAGAGATACTGAAACTAGATATCTGTAAATTCATCTGTAAAAAGGTGATAAATGAAACAGTGGGAGTGGATAAAATCATCTAAAGAGAGAGTATAGAGGAAAATGAGAAGAGAGCCAAGGACAGATTCCTAGAGAACATGCAAGAGGGGGTTGGTCAATGATGTATAGCACTCAAGTAAAACTCAGTAAGGACCATAGAATTTTGTAACTAAGAAGTCATTGATAACCTTTGAAAGAGTCATTTCAGTACAGTAGTGGGGTCAAAAGCCAAATTTCAAGGGATTGAAGAATGAGAGCGTGGTAAGGAAATAAAATAGAGAAAGGATGGGTAGATGACTTTTTTTTAAAAGCAGTTTGGCAGTAAAGGGGAAATAAGGTATTAGAAGATAACTTGAAGGGAGTAGCAGGGTCAGGGAAAGGTTATTAATATTAGAGAGACCTGAGAAAGTTTGTAGGCAGTAGGAAAGGAGCCAGTAGAAAAAGAAATGGAAAGATGTGAGAGAGCGAATAAATGGGTCAGTCTTGAAAGAGACAGGAGTGGATAGAATGGTGGCACAAGTGAGGGATTAGTGTTGGCAATAGTAGAGTCACCCCATCTTCCGGTGGAGGATACAAAGACCTGGTAAAGACAGTGTTTGCGGTGTCTGTTTAGGAGATGAAGACTGTTGGCCTCTGTTTTTTAATAAAGTAGGAAGAAAGGTCATCATCTAAAAGTGCTGCAGGTGATATGTGGCAGGGAGGAGGGGAGGAAGGCATGACAGTGTAGATGTAGATGTCTGTCATGGAAAAGAGGATAGGAAAAATTCCCATGTTAAAATATACTGATCAAAATGCATGCAAAAACTGCAGATATAAAAACTTCTGACTCTAATTCTTTACACGTTTATTTGTCTGGTTTTCCTTTTTCTTCTTTTGCAGCATTGTTATACTTTATCTAAGGTTTGGATCACAAGTGTTACAGGACAATTTTGTTGCTGAACTGTCAAATCGCTACCAGAATTATATCCTTTTAATTGAAGGTCCTTCAGGAAGTCTTTAGAACTCTGTTGTTATTCCAGTGTCTGCAGCTTGTATTTGTGAGAATAAGAAAAAAATGTTTTTCAAATAAAATCAATTCTGGATAATCTGAGCAAATGGGTACATAAATAGTGCTGATGTGGACTAATTTGAGTCATTTTTGGTGTCTTTGCTGGATATCCTGAGGGTGGGGGCAGCTGGGTGGTTCAATGGATAAAACACCAGGGTCAGAGTCAGGAAGACCCAAGTTTAAATCTGGCCACAGACACCAGCTGTATGACTTTGGCCAAGTCACTTAACTCCATTTGCCTCAGTTTCCTCATCTAGCTGGAGAAGGAAATGGAGAAAACCCCAAATGGGGTCATGAAGAGTTGGACGTGACTGAAATGACTGAATAAGAACAACAGTCCTGAGAGCTCCGTGTTTTTTCTTTTATTATTCACATGAAGGAATTTTTACGGTTGTGGCCATCATTAGCAGTATGCATCTGTCAAGTGAAGCAGTGTTAGGGATAGGAACCGCACCTATGATTTCACTGGTCTCCAAGGCAAGAGGACTTTTACCAATGTAGGTTAGCACTTTCTGTACAACTTAAGAGTCTCAGAAAGTTACGTAGAATGTTAAGAGGTTCAGTGACTTGCCCAAAGTCACACAGCCAGTACGTGTCAGAGGCAGAGCTTGCCCTCAGATTCCTGGCTCCCAGCCACCTCTGTCCAGGATGACTTCTTGCCTCTCAAGGCTTAATAACTCAATTTAAAGCCATCCGAAGAAGCAGTTGGTGATTCCAAGATGACTTGTAAACTCTTAACTAGTAATGTTTATGATGAGTTGTATCTTTATTGTTTATTTCCACAGGAAACTCTGCAGGGGCTATTTGAGGTTATTAACTTAAGGGCTTATCTTTCTTAGAATTTCTTACTGCACATAAAGGGCTGACTGGATCAGCATGTTCATGAGCTCAAGTCATCCCATGCATGACTTTGCCGTATCAGTGCCCTGTTGTTTGGTTAAGGGTGGAAAGCAGCACTGAGGATAGGTTACCAAGCATAATGGAGATGATAGATAAATTATTATTCAGTATGGCTTTAGATGGTTGCACTGCTCTGACCACATCCTTCGAAAGATGAATTAATTACCAGATCAGTGACTGGATTTTTAAGAACTGCTGATGGTACTGGCTAATGCTGAGCACTTCATTAAGAGGAGTTAGCTCGGAGCAAGTATCACAGCTTGGAAGGAGAAAACTCTGGAAATACTGTAGTGCCTGCCCCTCCAACTGTATACTACTAACCTTGACTGATCTCACCAGCAGAATTCTTATCTTTCTATGGCCTCCTGAACTTTTATCTCTACACTTTAGCCTTTGTGTATTCACCATCTAAGAATGCACTCTATGGTAAGTGACCTCAGTTTCTAGGTTCTTGGCCAGGTAGCTGCATAAGAGTCAGCAGAAGCTGAGGTAGCCACGTATTTGTTAAGCACCTGGATATTTCATTAGGCCCGGAATGAGAAGCTTTCTGGTTAAACAGAAATTTTTGTTTATTTTTTCCAGAGTCACAGTTGAAAGATAATCCAGCCTTTTCCATGCTTAATGACTCTGATGATGATGTGATTTATGGGTAAGGTATTTTTCTCTTGTGAAATAACAGCATTGGGCATTGCAATCCTCAGTTGGCCATTTTTGCATTTCCATTGTTTTTCAGTCACTCTCAAAACGTTCTCAAGCTAGCAAGGCTGTGTAATGTGATTCCATTGCTCTCTACAATTTTCCACTTTTCAGGCTGTAGGCTTAAAAGTGGCTATTTTCCCAAGAAGCAAGGTGGGCAGTCTATTTCTGTTCCTGGGCCCTGGCACAAGCTCAGATGGGTGGTCACTATAATGAGCCATTCTCTCAGGAATGTGTAGAGTTGGGTATGATAAGTTGGGAGGTGAGAGGGTAGGTCATATAAAATGGATATAACAAAAGGAGTGAGTACAACGTAGAATGGTGAGTTATTTTGAAAGATAAGAACTAAATACATACCTGTTGTTAGAAAATGCTTTCAAAGATCTCTTTGTTAACAGGAGTGACTACGAAGAAATGCCCCTGCAGAACGGCCAGGCCATTAGAGCCAAGTACAAAGAAGAGTCTGACAGCGATTGATGGAGCTCCAGCAGAGACCAGCTCAGCTGGCTAGAGAAGGTCTTGGACAGCTTTCCTCAGTGCTCCAACTCTCCAGCCTTCCCAAGCCATCTGCTTAAAGCTGAATATTTCCTCTCAAGAAAGGCAGTGTTCCCTTTACCTCTTTGTGTTTACTGATTTTTAAAAGACCAACCAGGACCAAAGGAAAAATTTCAATGTTGGGCAAAGGCATTACCAGGGTAGGGAGATGAGAGGGGGAGAGAGGCAAATGGTGAAGATTAGCAACCAAATGCCTCTTAGAATAGTTTTAGGGAAAATAGTTTTTGTATTAGAGTATCATTTCATTGGAGCTAAAGTAGCTGCTCCTGAACTGAAGGTTTCAGAGTCCTATGGTGTCCCAGAGCTCCTGATGCCTCTAAGTCACCCTCATTTTTAGTCTAAAGATGTATGCACTAGTCTTTTGTAGCATGTTCTCTCTAAGTGATGTAGAAGCACTTAGGAGCCACTAAGTGGCTCCGTGGGGTGTTGGAGTCAGGACGACCTGATTTGAGTCTTTCCTCAGGCACTTGCTGGCTGTGTGACCCTGAGGAAAGTCCCCTCCCTTCTTAGAGCTCCTGTTAAATGAGAATCATCATGCATCTACCTCACGAGGTTGTTGTGAGGCTGGAAGGAGATGAGGTATAGACAGTGCTTTACAAATGCCGGACATGATGACAAGTCATGCAGGCAGATGGTGGTGTTCTCCTCTCTTCTCTCCGTAGACATTGTTCTCTCTTTAATTCCAAGGGAAACTTAGGAACTTATTGTGACTGCCTCGTGCTGCCAATGCAGCATGCTGCTATTTGGTGGCAAACACCACACCGGGTCACTAAGTAGCTTGAGTTATTATCCATTTTAGAAATAAAGCATTAAGCTGAGGCTCAGCTGCCAGAATCTGCTGAAGCCCAAACAATGAAATACCCTTAAGAGTGTTGTGTACCTCCAAGTACACAGTACAACCTGGTAGGCTGGCTCCTTCCACCCCCTAATATGAAGAAATAGGCATTTATACCATTGATAGCTTCGCTGGGCTGGTTGTCCCTGCACGTCCTTCCTCCTTCTCATGTTGAGGTTGGGGTAGGGGAGGAAAAGTGTGACGAGTCCAATAAAGAATAGAGGCTATGCAACTTCAGAGCTCCATTACACAAATGAAACAATTACTAGAATAGAATGCCGAAAAGTTTTCATTTGTATATTGAAAAACCAATAAAATTAAACAATTTTCGTATTAGTTTTGAAACAAAGTTTGTTCAGAAAACTAATTTTGGGGAAAATCCTCTCAAGAAACTCAACTGGAGCTTTGTATAAACAAAATAAATCACTATTATGGGTCACAATTTTGAAATTCCAGTGCTATGGTAACACAGTGTGGAAGGCACCTAAGAGTTTTCCACTCCCTTTTTCCTAGACAATTAATTTAAAAGCAGAGTACAGGTATACCTTTTGCATCTTCCTCTCTGGCCCTAATCTTTGACCTGGTGTGCACTGTGGAAACCCCTGCAGATGATATCCTGGAGAACAGGTGTAGATAAGAGTGCAATGTGTGATGCATGCTTAGTAGCCCCATACCCTTCTTCCTATGCGTACCCACATTCACATGTCTTTTGTGTGCTATAAGAATTATGCTCTCTTCTCTGCAGTGCTAGGACCTCAAATGTCCATGGGAATGTTCTTTATGGTGATACACTAAAATTATCTTTCTTCATAAGTTAACCTTTAGTGATGTGATGGTACCATTAATTACCTCTGTTGCTTAATATGGATTTCCACTTAGATTTCTATAGTTTTTAAAGTCTTGTTTAAAAAAAAAATCAATGTTTGAATTAAAATTACTGTAAGATCACAAAGATGATTCAAGGTTTACATAGTTTTTATATTTCTAATGTCAGTTACTTGGTATTTTATTCTGTGTAGTCAGTGATATTAGAATAATTTTTAAAATAGAATTTTAATATATCTTCCATCAGGCTTACTTTAAAAATAATTTTAGGTTAAGATAAAGGTGGCTTGTGCCAGTTAATAGATTTCAGAATGTATTTCACTAGTTTTGTTATAAATATTTGTCATCTGTGATTTGGAATGCCCTTGTTGTTTCTTCATCCATGTAAATAGTGGGGGGAGGGGGGGTGGATTTTAAAATCCATATTTAGATTCCTGTTTTGAAAAGATCATTTTTTATTTGCAAGATGAAATTCAAGTATTGACTGACATCTTTATAATTTTATTCTTCAGGCATCAAAGTCATTGAACTAAAAAATATAGGAGAGCGAATATATACTTAAAATTTTTTTTTTTCATATTTCAACTATTTACGAAAGAGCTTACCAAATGGATACTTTGTTTTAGTTTTTTTCCCATAGTCCAACTACTTATGAAAGGGTCCTACTTAAGGGGAAAATACTCCTTTTATTAAACCAGGCACTTTCCATTTTATTATTTGGAGTAAGATGTTCATATTCAAAAGAGTTGTGTTATCCAGTCATGTAAAAATTTGCTAACAATCTAGCATTTAACATATAGAATATTTACCACATAGTAATTAAGCTGAACAATGCATTTTGCTGGGAACCATTAGTATTAAGAACATTCCTGATTGTTTTCATAGGGTTGGGGGCATGAATCCAAACATTGCAAATATATGCCACAAAGCCAAAGAACTGGCTCTTGTTCTGCCTTAGTAACAGCCTGGATGGAGACTTCTGGGGAAAGTTGGAGAGGATTTTGCACTTTGGGCCAGTGTAAGGGTACATGCTAGAAGATGGCCATCAACATCTTTTTGTTTTCATGAGGGGTAAAGGAGAAATTGAGCTTTCACTTAATATGCATATTTATTTTTTAATCACAGCAATAAAGAACTTTCCCTTCCTGGTTTAATCATGTTTCCCCTGACAATGGAATTGTTAGCATAATAAATCATGTATTCGAGAAAGGCTGGAGTACTGCCACATTTGCAGCTGTTTCCTTGATTATGTGAGATTACAGCATTTTTGCCAGTTGTAATCCATTGTAGGGACTATGTCATTGGCCCCAAATGTGTTTAGAATTACAGTATATCAATCTGAAGAGACTTTACCTGCAACACCCTCTTTCCTATCCCCCATCAGTTTGGCTTGTAAGGCAACATGTCTTTCAGTGTTTACCTGTAAATTTTTTACTTTCAAAAATCAGTTTAGTGGTTCAGCCTAATATTTGAACTAACACTGTTTACTAAAGTGTACAAAGCTAACTTAAAGTACTGCCTGGGGAATTATTTTTTTTTCCAATTTTTCTTATCCAGGGAAGCTAATAAAAGCTATCATTTTTGCTTATGTGTAAATCTGTAGTTTTTCTTAAAGAAGGAAAGATTCTGAAATTGACCTTTTAAGTTAGAGTTCTAAAAGATAAGAATCTTCTAATTCCTTCTCTAGGTCAAGGGAATTTATTTTATGCAGTGCCATCTTTCTACTCTTGTTTGATCTTGATTCTAGGTGTATAGTGCTGTGAAATACAGAAGGGAATTGTATTACTACAAACTGACTTTTTAAATAAAATTGTAATATTTATAAAATAAAATTGTATTTAAACTTGTATACCAAAAGGAAGGATTGTATGAGTGATAAATTAATGAACTGTTATTACAACACAACTTTTGAGGGAGGGTTGTTATATTCAAGTAGTGGTGTTATATCACATCAGACAAATAGTTATTTGCTTTTAGCAAATCTCATTGATTTTTGGGGGTGCATCCTGAGATCATAAATAAACTTTTATACATTCTGCCATCAAATTTGCATCTAGATTGTATACTTCATTACTTTGTTTCCCTTCTTTGTATATGAAATTAATTTGGCCCACTCAAGATGAGGGATTTAAATGCATTAGGGAAAAGAGCCACCAGTCTTGATCTCATTGTTACAAATACTGTCTTCAGGTTTTGTTTCAATAAAGTGTAGCTTTCCCCCCTCAAGGGTTGTTAAAATTTTAAAAATACACACTTATTTTAAGAACCTAAAAAGTAGATTTGAGGTTAGGGTATGAGAAGGGACTGGGCTTTCCAGATAGTCAAGGGTGTGTCTCTGTCTCTATATAGTCACCTCTAATTCCCACAGACCTTTACAAACTCGGGGTAAGAAAAACTAAGCACTGAGCAAAATCAGCTTTTTTAGAGATTTAGAGTTGTATAGTTCTGCTTGTTAGTGCTACGTAAATATTTCTACCTTTTCCTGACAGCTGAGAAGTCAAATGAATTAATCTTTATTTCATTTCTAAATGGTTTACTATACTTGGAATGGAAGAGACACACTACTACATTCAGTAATGTTGACAGGTAGTATATTATAGTGAAAAGCTGGCATCAAAACTAGGAAGACTGTTGAATTGTGACCCTGGGCAGTACTCTGGGTTACTAAAACAGTAAGTTGAAGAGGGCTCATACTGCATTGGGAGAAGGCAAGCCCCTAAACACTTGAAATCACAGGTCCAGCCTCTAGCTCCAATACTACAATTGTTATTTTGATTTGGAAGCCTTGATATGGTTGATCTCAGAACAACAGCTGCCACAGTGGCAGCCCATGCACATTTTTAACTGCTTTAGCAGCTCAGGAATTTCACTTCAGCCCCATACCACCTTACAGTTTAAGGCTTCTGAGAAATAAAATGTTAACACTTCCCTACCCAAAGATCAAGTAACCCCATTCCCAGGCAATGCATATCCCTTTTATTACAGTATAGTCAAATAAGTTACCACAATTGATTTTCAACTAGATGCCTAGGTCCATGAATTCTGATTTTCCAGAACCTTAAAAAAAAACAAACCCCCACAATTTATGAATTTTAATAATTTATTACTCTACTAAGAAAAGTATAAAGTGGGACGTTAGTATGTTATATAAATCATTTCAGAAATTAGAAAAAGTGTCATGCTGCAGCAGATTTCATTTTTAGCACCTTGGAATACTTGGAAGTATTGAAGGCTTTAGACAAAATAACAATACTGGATGTCAACTTATGGTGAACAAAGTGAAGTGTACAACCCATGTAACAGTGTGTCCATTTTGGACTTTTTTCCCCCTACATTTGAAAGTATAAGATACTTTTAAAACCTTTTGAAAGTTTGCTGAATTCACAGTAGGTAGATAGACCATGGAATGGAAATGTTTGAAAAAAAAAAACGAGGAGGCTATACAATTCCAAGGAAGTTAAATGGACAGTCCAAAGGCACTGACTATACAGTACATGGTCTTATTCTCCCATCTCACAGTGCAGCTTCCTGTGGAAACAATAACAAAAAGCACATTGAGCATTTTAAATTTTAAAAGTTGCTAGGGGCAGCTAGGTGGCACAGTGGATAGAGCACCGGCCCTGGATTCAGGAGGACTTGAGTTCAAATCTGACCTCAGACACATAACACTAGCTGTGTAACCCTGGGCAAGTCACTTAACCCCACTGCCTAACCAAAAAAAAAAAATTGTTAAAAGTTGTTTCAGTGAACTACATACAATACAATTTTGTTATTTCAATTTTTATGTATAGTAAGATCACAATATATTTAAGCACCATTTCAAATCTTAACTCCCCTTTGCATCTCTTAATGTCCTCAATTCATCCTTTCTTTGCTAAAACGATCTCCCCCATTTCTGGTCCCATCTCCCTCCATGACCTGGCTCCAAGAAACCACTCTTAATGGGTCTTTGATCTCTCCATCTTGACTAGCTGCTTTACATATGCCTTACAAATATACCTGGGTCTCCTCTTTGAAACAAACAAAAGCAACCTCCTTTTTATTCTACTATCCCAACCTCAGGTCATCCTTGTCCCTTCTCTCCTCTCCTTCACTGCTGGATTTGTAGCAAGAGTAGCCTAGACTTCTTGTTGCCACCTCCTCACCACCCACCTATGCTTGTTTCCACCACTCTTACTGAAATTGTTATGCACTGAGACTTTTTTCAGTTTATTTTTGATTTTTTTGCTTGCTTTTTCTTGCATATGGCTAATATGGAAATATGTTTTGCATCCCTTCACATGTATAATTGATATGTTGCTTGCCTGTTCAAGGTGTGGGGGAAGCTAATTTGGAGCTGAAAACTTAAAAAAAAAAATTAAATTCTTTAAAAATGTAATTGGGAAATATTTAAGGAAACAAATGAAAGTGTTATTTTAAAAAAAGAAATGGCTCCAAGATTTCTAGGGACATTACTACTAAATCTGTTATTTTTTTCTGTCTTTACCCTTGACCTTTATGCAGTTTTTTGCTACTGCATTCCAATACCCCTTTCCTTCTGGGTATGGCTACTGGGTATGACATTGAACTCCCATGGTTCTCCTATGGTCTTGACCAGTATGTCCTTATCCTTCTAAAAGCGAGTGTACCAAGAAGAAGCATGGCACAGTGGATAGAGAGCTAGCCTCCGTACAGAGTCTGGAAGACCTTGGTTGAAATCTCAGCTCTGGCACACATGGGCTGTGTGACCCCAGCCAAGCCCCTCAACCTCTCAGAGCCCTAAACAACTCTTTTAAGACAGAGCAAGTGCTTAAGCTGATCAGCATTGACTAGCATTGACTCGAAGTAATATAAGTAATCATCTAGGTAATATAAAAAAGCCTACAAAACTTTGGGACAAAAGCAATCAATTTCATAGTCTAAATACAAAGAAAGCTCTTTCATCCTTTGCAGGGGATGCAGTATTTCTAGCCATGCTGGATCCACTTGATCATAAGGCCCGTTTCCTAGTGTTTACTATGTCAGGCAACTGAAAGAGGATCCCTTAGTATAAAAGGTATGAACCCTCTCATTCTAATGAAGAGTAGGAATCGTGGCAAAAGCAAAACAAAGCAAAAAAAAAACCCAGAAGTTCCTCTACTGATGAAACTGAAGGTTTGGCCAAAAATATAAATCAAATACCCCAAGGCTTTGTCCTTGGCCCTCCTCTCTATACCTTCCCTTTGATGATTTTACCTACTCCAATTGCTTCAATTCTCTCTCCAAATCTACATCTCCAATCCTCAAGCTCCCCAGACCTCCAGGACTCTATTTCCAGCTGCCTCCTGGAGATCTCTACCTCGATGTCCCACCAGTACCTCAACTCAACATGCCCTAAACTGGACTTAGATCCCCTATTCCCTCAAACCTACCCATCCTCCCAATTTCTCCACTGTCCACCTGGGACTTATCTTTGATTCATCTTTCTTTTTTTTAAAATTTATTTTATTTTTAATTTAAGGAATAAAACAAGCATTTCCATAATGTAGTATAATAAAAAAAAGATTGCATATGAAACTGCAAATCTACCATGTACAACTTGCTATTCCTTTTAAATATACAACAGTTATCACATAATTCCCCCCCGCCCATATTCTTAATTCAGTTGTTAAAGTGATTTTTTTTCTTTTTTTTTTTGGATGGATTTCTGTACCCCATTTCCTGTATTTCTTATTTCCCAGTTGCATGTGAAAACATTTTTTTTTAAACATGTGTTTCTAAAACTTTGGGTTCCAAGTTTTCTCCCTTCCTCCCTCCCCACCCACCCTCATTCATAACGCAAGCAACTAAATATAGGTTATATATGTGCAGTTATGCAAAACACTTCCATAGTAGGCATGCTATGAAAAACTAACTCTATTTCCCTTAATCCTATCCCGCCCACCCATTTATTCTATTTCTTTTGACCCCTGTCCCTCCTCAGAAGGATTTGCTTCTGATTACTCCCTTTCCCAGTCTACCCTCCTTTCTATCATTCCCCTACTCTCTTGTCCCCTTCCCCCCTATTTTCCTGTAGGGTAAGACAGATTTCCACACCCAATTGAGTGTGTATGTCATTCCCTCCTTAAGTCAAATCCTATGAGAATAAGATTCACTCATTCCCTCTCACCTTCCCCATTTCCCCTCCACTGTAAGAGCCTTTTCTTTTCTGTTCTTTTTTTTTGTGAGATAATTTACCCCATTCTACCTCTCCCTTTCTCCTTCTCCTAGTATATTCCTCTCTCACCCCTTAATTTTATTCTCCAGATAGGATCCCTTCATTTTCAATTCACCCTGTGCCCTCTATCTAGCTATCTATCTATATCTATATATACGGACATATAATTTTTTCCCCTCCAACTACCCTAATACTGACAAAGGTCTCATGAGTTACAAATATCATCTTTCCATGCAGGAATGTAAACAGTTCAACCTTAATAAGTCTCTTATGATTTTTTCTTTCCTGTTTACCTCGTCATGTTCCACTTGAGCCTTGTATTTGAAAATCAAATTTTCTGTTCAATTCTGGTCTTTTCATCAAGAATGCTTGAAAGTCCTCTATTTTACTGAATGACCATTTTCTCCCCTGCAGGATTATACACTCAGTTTTGCTGAGTAGGTGATTCTTGGTTGTAATCCTATCTCCTTTACCCTCCAGAATATTATATTCCATGTCCTGCGGTCCCTTAATGTAGAAGCAGCTAAATCTTGTGTTATCCTGATTGTATTTCCACAATACTTGAATTGTTTCTTTCTGGATGCTTGTAATATTTTCTCCTTGACCTGGGAACTCTGGAATTTGGCTACAATATTCCTAGGAGTTTTCCTTTGGGGATCTCTTTCAGGAGGAGATCAGTGGATTCTTTCAATTTCTATTTTGCCCTCTGGTTCTAAAATATCCGGACAGTTTTCCTTGATAATTTCTTGAAAGATGACATCTAGGTTCTTTTTTTGATCATGGCTTTCAGACAGTCCAATAATTTTTAAATTCTCTCTCCTGGATGTATTTTCCAGGTCAGTTGTTTTTCCAATGAGATATTTCACATTGTTTTCTAATTTTTCATTCTTTTGGATTTGTTTTACAGTGTCTTGATTTCTCATCAAGTCACTAGCTTCCAATTGCTCTATTCTAATTTTTAGGGAAGTATTTTCTTCCGTAAGCTTTTGGACTTCCTTTTCCATTTGTCCAATTTTGCTCTTTAGGGCATTCTTCTCTTCATTGGCTTTTTGGACCTCTTTTGCCATTTGGGTTAGGGTATTTTTTAAGGTGTTATTTTCTTCAGTATTTTTTGGGGTCTCCTTTAGCAAGCTGTTGACTTGTTTTTCATGATTTTCTTGCATCACTCTCAGTTTTTCCTCTACTTCTCTTACTTGCTTCTCAAAATCCCTTCTGAGCTCTTCCAAGGCCTGGGACTGATTCATATTTTTCTTGGAAGCTTTGGATGTAGGAGCTTTGGCTCTGTTGTCTTCTTCTGGTTCTATGTTTTGATCTTCTTTGTCACCAAAGTAAGATAATATAGTCTGACTCTTTTTGCATTGCTTACTCATGATACCGGCCAATTACTTGAGTTTTAAACTCTTTGTTAAGGTAAAAGTCTGCTTCCAATGTGAAGAGTATACTGTCCCAAGCTTTGGGGGTTTGTACAGCTGTTTTCAGAGATACTTCTAGGGACCTGAAAATCTTCAGTTCTTCCAAGGTGCTATGATAAGGGGCAAAGTGTTTTCTCTCCACCACCACAACAAGCTCCACCGCACCAGTGTTCCTCCTAGCCCCAGGACCGCCGCCCCTCAGAACTGTGACCCAGATCCAAGCACTGGTAAAGCAAGAGATTCCTGCCTCAGACTGGCAAAGAGATCCCTGCAATCCCCCTCTGATCAGCCACTCGATTCCCCCTCAGTCTGTGAGCCAGGAGCTCAGGAAAAAGCCACTGCCCCGGGCCACACTTGAGACTTGCAGCTGAGACCTAGCTCCTCTCTCACTGCAGTCACAGACTTTTCCCACTGACCTTCTAAGTTGTCTTTGGCATTCAGGAGTTGAGAAGTCTGGAAACCACCACAGCTGCCCGCGATTCAGTCCTCTGAGGCCTGCTCTAGGGTCGCTGCAGCCTGCGCGCCCACACCGAACTACGCTCCTCTCCCTGCCCGGCGCGATATACCTTTCTGATCAACCATCCAGGCTGTCTTTGGCTGGAAATTTGTTTCACTCTGTCTTTTTGTGGGTTCTGCTGCTTTAGAATTTGTTTAGAGCCATATTTTTAGGTATTTGGAGGGCTTTAGGAGAGAGCTCAAGACAATCACTGCTTTCCCTCCGCCATCTTGGCTCCGCCCCCCCCTTTGACTCATCTTTCCCTTCACTCACATGCAAACAATTATCAAGTTCTACTGATTCTATCTCCATAATTTTTCTGTTGTACATCCTCTCCCAGCTGTTACCACCCTAAATCAGGCCCTCATCCCTCACCTACTCTGTTATTAATAATTGCCTCCTAACTGGTCTTCCACTTTCCAGTCTATCTGCCTTTCCAATCCATCCCCTTCACATTACTGCCCAAGCAATTTTCATGTATTGCTTTGAAATTTGATGCTCATCAAATCAAAAAATTTCCCTAATGAATAAAGTATAAGCCTCCTAATCTTGTTACACACGACCATCCAAATCTGAATCATAGTTCCTCAGAGTTGGAAGAAAACTTCAGAGGGTCATCTTGTTCAACCTATGCCTTTTCCTAAAAACTAATGTCCTTCTACAAGATCCCCAACAAGTGGCCCTCTGCCCTCCCCCTGAAGATCTCCAGTGAAAAGGAATCACAGGATTCCAGAGGCAGGCCATTTCAGCTTTAGACAATTCAATCTGTGAAGTTTTCCCTTACACTAAGCTGCAATCTGCCTCTTTGAGGCAAAGCAGCACATGAGTGTTTTTCAAACGTCTGAAAATAGCTGTCATGCTCCCTTAAGTCTCTTCCCTAAGCTAAACATATGAGAGTTCCATCAAGTGGTCTCCTTTGGCATGATCTCCATTACCCACAGCCCCATGGTTGCCCTTTACTTGTACCAACCTACTTTTTCCAGCTTTATCTCATTCTGCTCATAGATTTATATAATATAAAAATGGAAGGGACCCTTAAAGATTTTGATTAAGTTCAATCCCTTTCACATTCTATTTTCCAGTCAAACTGGACTACTCTTTCTTATCTTCATACCTCTACTTATAGTACCATCCACTCCTAGAATCAGTTTCCCACCCAGTCTCTGTCTTCTGAAGATTCTCCTTTTCCTCAAGGTTCAGCTCAGGTGCCACCTCCTCCATGAAGCCTTCCCTGAAACCCTCCCTTCCTAGCTAGAAGTATTCTCTCTCTCTCAAATTTCTCAATTCTTTGCCTAGACCTTTCCATACTTAGTACTTTGTCTCACTTAAGTATTTGTATATGTGTTGCTCCTCCAACCATTAAAGCTGGATATGGACTCACATATCCTAAGTGCCCAACACAGTGCTTCAAACATAGTAAACAATCAAAAAAAAAAAAAAAGCTGGACAGTAGAAAAGAAAATGAATCTGTATAATGAAAGTTATTACATCTCTTTGTTATTTAGTAGAAGACAAGCTCCTTGAGAATAGGGACTGTTCTGTATCCCCAGTACCTTGTCAAAATAAGTATTTTTTAAATGCTTCTTGAATTTTAAAACTTCATATATAAAGCATGTCACATTTTCAAATAATTCAAACATTTACTCAAGAAATCTTAGAACATTGACTGGAAATTTATTATACAGCAATTTAATCACATAAAATGAAAAAAAAAATGCTACTTATAACAAATTTTCTTAACCTAATCTTTTAAACTTTCAGTAAGAATAAAAACAACAATTCTTATACTGAAAATGCTTATACAAGAAAATTAAAATAATTTCATACCATCACTGGTGTTATCCCAAAAGCACGAGCTTGCTGTATGCAGCCCAGCTCCATTCTTCTGCATAATCACACAGGTCACTTAAGAAAAGACAAACTTTCATTAGAGAAATCCGTATGATGATAATACATTAAGTTTTCTGTGCATCCACTTCAAATGTATTTTTTAAAAGTTCTTACCAATGTATTTGAATGGTTTCCCCAGCTTGGTAAGTTGACTTAAAGTTTGTTCCACTACATTTGTGGTCCACTGATTGACTTTGCTGTGTTGATAAGCATTACCACCAATTGCGCTTTCTATGGCCTAGGGAAGGAGAGCACAGGGTAGAGTTAACATAACCACTCAAGTAGCTTATAACAGATCTGGCTTTTGAAAATTTCAATGACATAAAATAAGTAAATATTAACATTGTTATTTTTTGAAGACTATTTAAAATGAATATATGCCACTATTAAAAGAATCTCAGAGTTGGAAGAGATTTTGGAGGCCCTTAGTTAAGCCTCTACCTAAACAATATAAATGCCAAGAAAATACCCTACATAATTAGCAGCTTTCCTTGAAGACCCACTACCTACCTTCCAAAGACATTCCTTTCACTTTTGGACATCTCTCATTGTTAGGAAGGTTTTCTCTACTCAAGCCTCAATTTTCCTTGTTGCAACTCCCACTCACTACTCCTAATTATGTCTTCTAGAACCAAGTAGAATAAATATCTTTCAAATGACAGTCCTTTAAATACCTGAAGAGAGCTAGACCCCCTTAAATCTTCCCTTTTTCAGGTTAAACAATCTACATTTCTTCAAGTGACTTTAATTACAGCATGAAATCATAGTCACTCACTGTCCTGGCTGAGCTGTTCTGGCTGCTCTCCAGCTTATCAATGTCCTTCCTAAAATATATCCCCAGAACTGATTATGATACTTTGGGTCAGACCAGGCCAGCATACAGTGGGGCTGTCATGGTCCCACAGTCCTGTGGGGAACCTGCGGTCTTGAGGCAGGCTGCAGGTTCCCCACACCTGTGTCTAGACATAATGCCTTCCTCATAAAACAGCCTAAAACTCCTGTTGAAGCTTGTAGTATACGAAAACCATCAGATCTTTTTTGGATAAACTGCTTTCTAACCATCTCTACCCCCCTCTTGTACATTTCAAGCTGATTTTTTAAAACTCAAGTATAAGACTCATTGGATTTGGAGTCAGAAGTCCTGGGTTTGAACACTGACTCCATCACCTGTGTGACACTAGACAAGTCATTTCAGCTCTCTTACCTTAAAGTTCTTCGTCCTTAAAAAAGGTTCTTTTCCAGCTTTAAATTTATAATCATAAATATTATTAGTTTCAGCCCAGTTTTCTAGCCTGACAGACCTGTTGGGATCCTGATTCTTTCATCCATTATGTTGGCTATCCTTCCTAACATTGTGTCATGTGAGATCTGGCAAGTAAACCATATATATTTTTATGAGTGTCCGGTCTTTTTAGACATCTCTCAGTTTCTTCCCTCGTGAGAATTGTTTCTTTGTGTTTTCAGAAGTCACTATTGGAAAGCATTTCATCACACCTGGGCTGACTTCCCCTATAGAATTTTAGTTCATGGAATCCCACCTATCCTTTTTTTTTTAAGCCCTTTGAAATCTCATTTCCCAAAACATAAGGAGCATGATAGCAAAGGAAAGAGAAACGAGGCACAGTCTATCATAAACTCTAAGATGGCATGGTCACTTTACTCGAGCTCCCTACAATTTCCTCCCCAACGACCAGTTATTTCTTATTGGTGAGAATCAAACTCAGAATAGAATTTTCCCTCATCCACATTTTGAAGGATGGAATTATTAGTGAGGGAAATCAACTTATTAGCTGCTCTGCTTTGTATAGAGAACTCTAACAAATGTCCAAATAATTTAAGTCTCCCCCACCACTATGATCATGACCCTGTGGAGAAGCTTGAGATCTTTTTTTTTTCCAATTCCTCACAGCATCATAAGTTTGTTTTGTTTTTAAGCTTAAAGGGACACTGGAGATCATCCGTTTCAAATTCCTTATTTCACAGATGAAGACACAGAGGTCTAAAGATGTTAAGTGACTATTGTGAAGTCATATGAAGATTTAAATCCATGTACTCTTAACTCCACATTCAATGCTCTTTGCACTTACTTTCCCTTTCTGATCAGATGGCCTGTAGCATATCCCCATGTTACAATGCTGCTTCTGTTTTTGCCTCCAATGATCCCCCAAATGCTCTCATTACATTCTTCTCTTCTCGTTTCCAAATTTTCTCATATGTGTATCTTAATATAGCCTGCAAATCTGTACCTGCCTTTTCCATTTTACTCTCTGGGCCCTCAGTTTCATCTGTAAAAATGAGAGGGTGACCTCTGAAGTCTCCTCCAGTTGTATCTATGATGCTATGATCCTTTTATATAAGGTATTCCCTTTTTGAGTCATATGCCAGTCATGAGTCTCCTACCAATTCTCAGGGATACAATACAGGATCAAATTTTTTTCTTTGTTTTGGAATCTCAAGTCCATTAACCTAGCTTGTTTGCCTGTACTAAGGTATATTTTAGCGCAGAAAGCCAAGGCCATGGGTTTGACTGTTGGCTTTCTTGGATTTTGTTTCCTGGCCATTTCTACCATTCTTCCTATTCTGTAGCTACTGTCTCATAGATACCTAGGTTTGGTGGAAGAGTGTGTGAGAGAGTGTGAGTGTGTGTGTGTGTGTGTGTGTGTGTGTGTGTGTGTGTGTGTGTGTG